CCGTTCTTAAGAATTACATAACTTTTACATTAAGAAGAGGTTAAAAGTGTTGACTTTGGTGGGACTCACACCCACAACCTTTGAATCACTCCTGAAGTGTATGCTTAGAAGTTCAATGCACTGCCCATTGCCAGGTGCGAGAGGATGCCCTGTGCCATTTTTTGTCAATTGTGATCCGTCCATTAAAAATGTGGTAAATAGTGACTAAAGTAATTTAAAAATCTACTAAAAGTGCTAGCTATTGCATAGACATGCCTTGTCTATGCCGACTTGTTATTTGAGGCTTAACCCAGTAACTAAAATGCCTTTTCGTTAGATGCATCTAACTTCTGTAGTGAGGGAAAGTTAAAGATTCAACTCTGGTGGGATTTGAACCCACAACCTTTGAATCACTCCTTAAGTGTATGCTTAGAAGTCCAATGTGTGATCCATTGTGCCACATGTGAATGGTTGTCCTGTGTCACTTGTGAAATCTGACTCCTCTGTGAATCCGAGGAGCTTATGTGGACTGAGTTTCCCTTATATAAAGGAAAAAAGAGGAAACAAAGTCTGGACTTTCTGGATCCATGGGTTCCTCTATTGTCCCATTCATTCAACTCCTTCCTCTTGAGGGTTGCTAGAACCTATCTAAAATGCCTTTTAGTTACATTCTGGGAAGGCAATATTTTATGATCCTGTATTTAGGCACATAAAATCTCTTTTTCAGAGATACACTGGCACTGTTGTTTGAATTCTGTTTTATATCACACTCATTCTCTGCCTTCTTTGCCTCCTGGGGCTCTTTCTCAGATTTCAGCATCCACGATGTGGAGCTTCCAGGACAGCTTGGATCTCTTTTTATTGGAGCTAAGACCTCTTTGCTAGTGTGTAATTTGAGCAATGATCTGGAGTATTACAGTGACAGTACCACTGTGGTTTCAGAGCTGGATGCACTGGGTGATGAGCTGCTGCTGGATGATGACACCTCCTACCTGGATGAGGCCTCAGCTGCCCCGTCTATCCCTGAGGGAATCCCCAGTGACAGCAAGACAAATAAGGTGACAGTCTACAGAGCTCAGTTTTCATGACATGAAGGGCAGGGTTGTGGAAAATACATGAAAGTAAAATAAAAAGTAATCATAAAGAATTTTTCCTACTTCAAAATGGACCTTTGGGGTGTGACTGTGTATGTAAGCAAACTATTAAACCTGCCACGAATTCTGGTGCCAGTTTCTAATCCTGTGTATGTGTTTGGTAGATTAACTATAATGTGCAAAACTAAGTTTTTTCCAGTCCACTCTATTGTTTAAACACAAACCTGCTAAGTGAGTAACACTTGAAATGTAAGTGTTTTGCTCATGGCTGATGTTTTTTTCTTCTTTTGTGTTCAGGATGGTGTGCTCGTGGATGAGTTCGGCCTCCCTCAGATTCCTGCCACATAAACAAGAAGCAAATAAAAACAGCTGCACTCGAACTGAAAACACTTTTATATGTAGAGTAACATTTATACATGCAAAACCATTTGATGTGAGAACACTACAATTTGGAGGCTGTTCTGGTTTCAGGTTGTGTATTGTTACTTCTACCGTGCTGGCATGTGGCCTTGTAACATACTAAACCTTTTTTTTTTTTAAACATAATTCCCTTCATCTTCTCTTCCTTTCATCATCAACAGCTTGTCTGTGTCGTTCATTAGTGTTCCTTAGTGTTTATTTATTTCTGTTTGTTATTAATTTTGTGTGATTTTTAGTCACTAAGATCATGTCTGCATTCTCAAAAGTGGAGGTTATTCACACTTGGGCTGTTTAAAATATCTGCAGGGTTATTTGAAACATGCAAAATAAAAATGTTTGTTTTAAATCAGCTGTGAGTTCTTAATTTATGGCGTATTTGTTCATCCTCCTCTATCTTGTTTTTAGCTCTTAAGTAGACATTGCTAGTACCACGTTGCCGTCAGCCTGTTTTAATTCTCCATGGCATAGATTCAACAAGGTGCTGGAAACATTCCTCAAAGATGTGGTTCATCCATGATCTGAATCTCCTGCTCCACCACATCTGGAGTCCATTTGAGTACAGCGAACTTGCTGTCATGTTCAGGAAACTAGTTTGAGATGATTTGTGAGAAACAGCTATCAAAGGATGGATGCTTTTCTGTGGGTGTGGTCATAAAGGGATGGATTTGG